AAATTGTAGATCCATGAAGCACGACTTAAATAACCCAAAGATAACAAGATCAATAGATACTTGAAACTTGTAGAATGACTAAGACATAGTTGAGTCTGACAAAAATTTTGGACTTGCAATCTGAGCAAAGGGGTTTCCGTTTGTCCACATGAATAATTCAATGGTTAGACCTTCAAAGACTTCTGGAAAATATAGTAATTAGTAAATATTGCAAGCCATATTTGATAGTTGCAATCCCGAGTTATTACTGTAATCTCTTTCAGATGTTACCCATGCATTTTGGGGTTTATCCCGGCAATAAATCACAATTGCAATTATCCAGATACTTCTCCGCTCCAGTCTCAATGCAAATGCTAATGATACATCATTGAATCGTAGAGATGTTCAAAACATCTCTTCCTGGGAGATTATTTTCTGAACCTCCAAACATATGATAGAGCCCTCAGCAATTAACATGTAAACGAATACTCATGCAGAGAACAACATGAAAAATCAGCAATCATCTGCATTAACATGCATATGACTGCCAGATGTAATCTTGAGAATTTGAGAAAGGAAATAACTTCTCCTACTATCTAAATAGGTGCATATATTGCCAAGTGCTTAATTACTTAAATGCAAAAGAGAAAACATACAGATAGAGTTCTAATAGAGGGGTGTCTTATGAACCATGTAAACACTAGATAGTATCATGGAAAAGTAGAATATTTTCTACCCAAATCCTATAAAAGCAAGTATAATGGAGGTATCCTGTCGCAGTTAGGGATGTAACCGAAAGGAGCCGAGTTCAGAGCTCAAACTATTGATTGAGTCAAAATCACTGATTGGAACTCGAAATTGAGTTTGGTTGAGTTTGATTCCTGAAACTCAAACTCAATTAAATACAAATGAGTATTCTAGCTGGACTTCCCTTATACAGGAATGGTGGAGTCTCGCTAGCTCTGCATTCAAGCACTATTGGATAAATTTGTTTAATACTAATTGGGAAAAAATCTCAACTATTCCACAAACACAACACTCAAACATCAAAATCAAGCACAATCACCAAACACTACCCTATATCTATCTAAATTTTCTTCCAACAAGACTTTCCAATATATGTATTTTATTATTGTCATTGTTGTTGTTATAAATTTTCTTCCGTTAAATCTTTCAATTTGGTAAATGTAATGAAAGAACCATTAGAACACAAAAGGACTTCATAAGAGTTTAGTGGACTCTAGCTTTCTCAAAATGGGAGTCCATGTTTAACCATTCAAACACAGTATGATCCTTAGTATATGATTTGAACGACCTCATAATTGTCTAATAGTTCCAAATAATATAGACAATCTGCAGAATCAAACAATGTTGTCTTGATTCTTCCAATATCTCAATCACAATATAAGCGAAAAATATGGAAAGAAACGGGTAAGAAACATCTAAGATCCACGTAGAAGTTGAAGCAACTTTCTCAAGTTGAGAACTTCGACAAGATATCTAACTCCACCAATAGCAATGCCAGACTCTGTTATGCTATTGCTTTTGTGTTATTGTCTGATTATTATTTATTACGTTATCCAGCACCAGACAAAAGCACAAAATGAGATCTTATTAAATAAATTTTCAGTTGGACAATCAACACAATATAGCCAGGACTTAAGTCCTTTGTGTTGTTACTCAAAAGATCATCATATAACCTGAAATGCAAATTACTCTTCTATTGCAATTAGCTTAAAATTTTCTACTATTACATGAATAACAGGAATTACAATCAAAGTCAGGCTGCAAAATCTCGACCCATGAATTGTAACACAGGCAAAATTTCCCTCAGTAACCTATGAATTACAAAAAGAAGAAAATAGAAGTAAAACCAATACCATCGCTCATAATTCATCAAACCCTTCAGTTTTCCTCTTTTTCCTCTTCTTCTTTTCATTCTGCTCTGCAGAATCACTTCTCTCTCCACCATCAACCTCCCTGCTCTTCCTCTTCTTCCCTTTTTCACTGCCAACATTTGCTCCATCATCTCCACCCTCATTCTTTTTTCTCTTCTTCTTCTTATCCTTACTCTTCACACCTTCAACTCCATCCATGTCTCTTTCAATTTCCACAATCTCTTGCTTAATATTATTCTTAACCTTATCTATTTCCTCTCTATCTTCACCTCTCCCAATCTTCTCCTGTTTTTTCTTTTTCCTTTCCTCCCCAACCCCACTGTCAGGGCTTCGTTCAATCTGTTCTCTCTGCTCACTCCTCACCTCCGATTGGCTATTTTTCTTTCCTTTTTTGCCAACATTTTCTCCATCCTCCTCACCCTCATCCTTCTTTTTCTTCTTCTTATCCTTTCTCTTCACACTTTCACCTTCAACTCCATCAATAATGTTCCTTTCAACTTCCACAATCTCTTGCTTAGCCTTATTCCTACCCTCATCTCTTTCCTCTATATCTTCACCTCTCACAATCTTTTCATGTTTCTTCTTTTTCCTTTCCTCTCCAAGCCCATCAGGGCTTTGCTCAATCTGTTCTCTCTCCTCATTCCTTAACTCCGATTGGCCAGTTCTCTTATCTTTTCTGTTCTTGTCCGAACTTCTCTGTACCTTAACTTTGTCAAGCCTATCTGCTTCTTGGTCAATCTTCAACAAGCCTTCAGTGCTCGGCTCAAATTCGCGATTTTTCTTATGTTTTCCCTTCTTTTCCGACCTTTTCACGGCGTTAACTTCATCAATCCCTCCTTTATCCTTCTCAATCTTTAACGGTTCTTCATCATTTACCTCTAATTCGCGATTTTTCTTCCGCTTGCTCTTGCTTTCCACATTCTTGATCTTTTCTTCATCTAGATTTTTGTCAACGGTGGCTAAAGTTTCAATCTTTGTATCAACAACAAGAGGTTGAGATACCTTACGTTTGCGATTCGAATGGGGCGCTTTTAGCTCCTTGTGGAATTGAACCAAACTGTTGAAGGCATCAGAAGCGCGTTTCAGATACACGCGGACGGCATCGGAAGCTCCATTCTCCTCTTCCAGGGAGGCGAAGGCGGAGAGGTTTTTGGCTGCTGAAGATAGAGAGACTGGCTTTGTTGATACCACTTGGCCTGTGACAGTCTTCATTGGAATTTGACTATTTTGATACTTTTTGGGGTTAATTCAGCTGCGATTTAGGGTTTAAGGGGTATTCGTCGGGGTGGCGATCGATCAAAATCGGGTTGGTGGGTCGGGTTGAGACCCGGATATAACAGAAAATCCCGCTGACTCGAACCTGACTCGAACTCGAAAATTTTGAGTTAGCGGGTCAATCTGAAATGATTCGAAATTTAATTTTAATTTATTAATTTATCACTGTAATTTTTTATAAAACCAATTTCGCACAAGACTAATTACATAATCAAGTAATAAAATTTTAAATAAATAATTCCAAATCAAATATAAAATAAATTAAAATAATATAAAAGTAAAAAAAATATAATACATTATTTATCCAAATATCATAATTTTAACTTCACACAGGTTAAATAAATTCATTTAAAATTAAGTGATTAATGCCTTTGGAAAAAAAGAATAACTTAGTTTAGTTAGATAAAATAATTTTTATGTTTATCAAATTATTTTTAATTCGTAAACGGATTATCAGGTCATTCATAGGTTGATCCGAATTCGACCCGTTTTCTTTTCAGGGTTCATCGGGTTTGACCCGATTCTAATCCGAACCCCCGAGACCTCAATCAAAATTCATTAATTTCGTGTTAGATTCTTGTCGTGTCAAAAATTGCCACTGCTAGATTTTCGGAGGTGAAGTCAAACCGGGTCGAAGACCCTCAGCCAAGCCCGGGATCTTAAACGGATCAGACCCAATAAAACAAGAACCGCTAAAGTAGGGCAAAAATTTTTCTGAATGAAAATGTAACACGTTAAAATAAATTTCCCACTGCAAAAATAGGAAATAGGAAACTTAGGAGTCAATAGCATGTACAAGTTTGATAAGACCATTGAAATGTACATGAGATCTTCAGTCTTCCTCAAAAAAAAAAAAAAAAGAAGTATACGAGGTCATACGTACAAACATGAATGTGATACATGTTTACATATAACAATTGATTTAGGATTCTCTTGATGGAATACACTTGAGTAATTACAAGTAATACTGATATCTTACTTAATTTCATGTTAGCATCACATATTATAAGATACAGAATAAAATATAAATTTGTGTTGAATTTATCTTCTAAACTTCACCCTTACAAAATGGAGAAAAATTAAAACACAAACCAAAGGTGGAGAAAGGGAAAATTTTCAATTATATCATGTCAATTGGTCATTCTTGTCAATAATAAATATAAAACTGTTTTCAACTTTCTTACAAAATAATAGATAACATTTATCTTAAAAAATGTTATTACTTTTCTCCTATTCTTAGTGTAACAACGTTAATTTTGTAGTTATGAATGGACTGAATATACAGCGTATGAAGGGAATGTTTGGTTGAATGATAAGATAGGAGAGATTATGAATGAGAAGTTTTGAAAATAAAGTTGTATATCTTACTTACAAAAAGTTTTAAAAAAATACAAAAGTGTATGCTTGTGTTTATTTATTTTAAATTACACATTTATCTTGTTTCATGTTTTCCATTTACTCAAAATCTTACATTGATACCTTCCTTATCTCTTTTCATCTTGAAATTCTTATTATTTTATCTAAAGAAAGCTACTATTAGAAAACTTCCTCCTCAATTTTCATATTGAATTCTTATTTTTTCTCCTCTTAATATTCCTGCTATTTTCTCTAAAGAAAGCCAGCATTAGATTTACTATTTGGAGGGTTAGAAGGCATCTAAACTCCTTACATATTAAACTTCCATAAAATTTCAATATCAAAGATTAAAATGAACACAAAAATTTAGAAAATTCATTAGTTATTTTTGGTACAAACTCCTTTTATCTTTCTATTTGCTTAAAAAGGGGGGTGAGGAAAATAAGAAAAACATATTTAAGGCAATTCCGTTTGTGAGACTCGATCCCGCAACCGCCTTCGACGGAGGAAAAATGAGCCAATCGAACCCTGCAAGGCTGCAACGTTCTCACTCCACCAGCATACCGTCTTGAAAACTAGGTCAACCGTTCGCACAAATTTTTAGTTCAGCTATTGACTTTATATGCTGCCTCTGCCAGCTTTATTTATCAGTTCTGCAACCGCTGACAAACTCTAAAACCCTCCCGCCTAATTCTTAAACCTCAGTTTTTCTGCGTAAATTAGCAAACATTAGAAAAAATGACGAGGATAGCGTAAGCTCCGATTCAATTCACAAAACAGCCCTACATTGAAGATGTCGGCCCTCGCAAAATGTAACTGATCTCTACTGCTATTGCTCTGTTTTTTTTTTTTTGGTTAATCTTAAATAGGTGAAATTCCAATGTGTTTGATAATTTCTTTACTTTTTTTTTTGTGGAAATTTGTGAACAGAGAAAGTATTCAGTTTTCTACATTCGGAGAATCCGAGATTCTGAAAGCAGCTGAAATACAAGTATACCGCGGTGTATATTATGATTCTGCGAAAAGGCCTTGGGAGAATGGCTTATTAGACCCTCATATGGTATCTTATTTAATGTTCATTGTTTCTTTTAACAGTGGTGAACTATTTTTGCGTACGATGAACTGATAGCCGTGATTCATTTTCCATATTTTCTATCTGATGGAGAAGAAAATGTATCTGCTATTGTTATTTCACATTTAAAAGAAGAAGAGAAGGGGAGTTCGAATAAATAGCATTTTCTGGGGAACTGATGATGCATCAGTTATCTTTTAGGTCTCTTTTGTGCAGCTAGAGTTTGTTTAATCTGTCAAATTATGCGATAGGAATTGCTTTGTTCAGTAAATTACTTGTAATAGTCTATTGATAAGGGGATCACTTCCAGTGACTTTCTAATTTTCTAACAAGCTAAATCAATGTTGTTTTTGAATGTAGGTACTGCTGTTGTTTCCAATTTATTTATAGTTCAGAAGTGTATTAATTTATTGGTTACATTTTTGAGTTACTGGAATTGATATTAGAAATCTTCTGAAAGGTGCTGTTTGGTCCAGGGCCCCGCAAACAAGAATGGAATTTGTGAAGCATGCCATGGGAACTTTAGGGAATGTCCAGGGCACTACGGATATTTGACTCTTGCTCTACCAGTTTACAATGTTGGATACTTGATTACTGTCCTCGACATCTTGAAGTGCATTTGCAAGGTAGATGCTTATAGTTCTACTTATATGTTTGTGCATAGTGTTTACTTTGACATGCAAATCTCTCTCTCTCTCTCTTTTGGATTCAAGTTGATGCAAAGTATACTTCTTATTTGCTGTTGGTTCATCATTTTGTAAGTAGGACTGACTTGAATAATTATGGGAGTGCTAGGATGACATTCTTTTGTCTGAAAAAAAAATTCTTTTACCAATCTGCCTTCTATTTGCCACTTGTGTCCTCATGTGCCCAAAAAAAAAAAAATTCGCCTTCTCCTTGCACTCAGAACATGCAAAGAGGTGCTGTTTCTAGAAGCAACTACTTCTGCACGTGGGAAATGCTAAATTTGCTAATGGGAGTCATCTGTAGAAGCAGCTCTGAATAGTTTAAGACTATCATCTTGGAATGTTAAGAGGTTAAAATGACCTTCTCTCATTTTTCTGTTGGGATTGTAGCTAGTGATATGATATTTGGTAAGTTCTGCTAATGAAAATTTCATCTGAATTTTTGAGATAAAGTTTCTTTCGGAAGTTTCCTTCCATTACTGGGAGTCAAAGCACATGAGATGAATAATTTTTCCCACGTTGTCATTTTTTAGTTGCCTCCTCTCTCTCTCTCTCACACATATTTTGGTGAATGGTGCTCGGCGTGTTGAATGCTTTATCAGAGTTAAATTTTTAGCTTATTCATTTATTTTTCTCCTAGTGTGTTTTCTAGTTTTGGATGATTTTTTCTTCTTCAAACAGCAATGTTCGCGTGTGCTTCTCGGGGAGAAAGAACGCCTTAGCTTTCTAAAGAAGATGAGAAATCCCAAAATCGAGCCCTTGAGGAAGAGCGAGCTACAAAAAATGGTAGTGAAGAGGTGTAATGCCCTAGCAAGTAGCAGAAAAGCAGCTACTTGTTCTAGATGCGGCTATGTAAATGGTTTGTGCCTGTACTTTCTTTCAATATTATAGTCAATTAAGTCCAATATGGTGTTTGGTTAACGATTCAATCGAGTTTAGATATGGTGTTTGTTTAGCAATGTATAGTCCTAAAACTACCACTAATTTCCCTTTAGTACTCCAAAAGCAAGGTGGGAATAGGGAAAGGGAAGAAAATGATATATATTAAGTGCATAGAAAAGAGAGAAAATAGGAAAAAAAAAAGATAAAGTAGTGGGCATGCAAAGTTAAAATAAATAAATGCTTTTTTGCTGTGTACTTTCACATCAAATTTTGTATTACTTTGGGTTGTGAAGATAATGTCAGGTTACTCTTAAAAATAAAAAACCTGTTTTCTCATTCACCTTAATACATTTTCTGGATAAAGGTTTGTAAAACTTCAGGATGTACTTACTGCATGAATGAGAGGTTTAGGCATGTTATTGGGGGCTATTTGTTTAAGAAGCAGTATGAGTCCCTTTCCTGCAGTGTATGTTTTCATATGTATGTGTATATATATGAGGAAATTTCATGTGTATGTGCATATATAAGTGGAGATACATGTTTGCAGTGTATATTTCTCTGTTTTAGTGATATGAATGTGAGCCAAGTGTTTTGCTTTTATCTTCTTAAAGTCATCCCTTTTGGTTAAAGCTTTGAAAATGTAAGACATAAATAATAAGTCAAGCATGAGAATATAGTGTGTGGATATTTGTATTCACAAGGTCAATGAGACAAGAAGTAATATCCACAATCCCTGAACATGATTCTGCTTTAAGCTTCGATTCTTAGGAACTTCATTTGGGTGTGGATGCAGAATGAGACCTCTGAAGAGAGATGATTGGGGATGCTAAACGTCCTGGTGAGAACTTATTTTTGGTGGGTGAGTTGCTGTTACGGTCACTGATAAGAATGAAAAACCAAAAAGGCAAAAGTTGTAGTTCATATTCTTTTTGGTACTCTGGTTGAATTTCCTCAAGTCACAGAGCAGCTTATTTTTGCAAAAGTAGGGCTGAAATTTGTTTTGATAGTGGAGCAGTTGTAAAGCTTTGGTAGGTTATTTTTGCGGGCATAGTGTGATAATGAGACAAAAAGGGGACATCTTTGTACACAACTATACATTATAAAATTGTTTTCAGTTTGTCCCTGCTGGTCCCCTCCTCCTGCCACACTCGTCATAGGACCTCCACAAAGTGTTTCGAAGTTAGCCAACATCCAATTAGTGGTAGTTGGTCATTACACTTTTAAAGACAATCAAGAGGGAAGTTTATCATGTCCCAATCGAATGGATAATTTATACAAATTACTTGAGGGCAAGGTCTGTTCAACTTATCAAAAACTAGGGAGGGGGAGGTCTGTACCGTGAATTTTGTTCAACTTTTCCATGTTGCTGTTAAATTAAGAAGCTTATTCCTGAGCTTTTCTTGATCATGTTTCAGTGTTTGGAGAGAGATTTCATTTTTATTTGATTTAGATAAACTTACTAATTACAGGCATAATTTTTCCCTGAATAACCAAATTTAGTTTATTATCTTTAAATTAAGAATATTCTTTGTTTCCATTTATGAAGAGCATTTGCATCCTGAGCTGAAACCTTTGTCCTTCAATAATCTATATATTATTCTTTTTATTAAGTGCAGCTATGTTTCTAATTTCGTACTGCCAACATGCTGGAAAAGTGTGTCCCTTGGAAAAAGCTTAGAGAAATTAGGTTACAAGTTTGTGGGCAGTTGGAGTTTTACCTGTTTCAGTGCTGTAAATTTACTGACATCTTCTTAACGTGGTTTCATTGCAGCTATGGTGAAAAGAATACTAAGATGTTAGGCATCGTGCATGAAAGGACAAAAGTCAATGACAGTTTCTTAAATGAATATGGTTCTGCAATTTCACACACGAAAGACTCTAACACATCCAATTTTAGTGTTCCTGATGAAATTGACCCTAAAGTGGTTTATTCCCTTCTCAAGAGAATGCTGGATGAGGTATTATCTCTTCTGTGATACAAAATTTATCTGCTCTGTAGCTTAGATCATCTACAGATTATTTATCTGAGTTTGGCTCACATTTATGCAATTGTGTTTCCTTTGATTTCCATCTTGAATCTTCTCTACAGGACTGCGAGTTGCTGTATTTAAATGATAGACCTGAGAAACTCATGATTTCAACCATTCCTGTGCCTCCAATAGCTATTCGTCCATCAGTTTTTGTGGATGGTGGTATGCAGAGGTAATGTCAAAAACATATGTGCTATTTTTTGTCATTGCACCTATTGTCCAATCAACTGGGAGGGAATGAATAGATTTCTTTTCAGGAGCAAAACGTACTGGTTTCAGTTTTGCTTTTTTTTTTTTTGGTGGCATTTCTTCCTTGAATAGATAGGAAGAATGTAATCTGGTACTTGAGTGATAGGTTTATGTGGTCAACTGAACTGTTGATATGCTTGTTTATGTACTAAATATTAGTGAAACCCTCTTGGGTGGATCACATTGCAAGATGTTTAACGGATATTTATAATAACCAAATTGAATCATACTCAATAGGTTTCGAATTATTGCTAATCCTCTTGAAATTTTAGTTTCACAGCTGAATTAGGGTAACTTGTGATTTTATAGTTTTATAACTTAAATTTGGAATGAAAAGGTATTAGAACAATCCTCATGGACTCAAATCCTTTATGGATCTGTGTCTAAGACAGGAGTGGAGGGCAAGGCATGCAAGGAGAAGCAATGCAATGGAAAGAAATTGTTATACTGGAATTTCTCTATTGCCTTGTACTGATGTATGTTTTTTTTTAAGACCTGAGGCCTGCTCACTCGGGGATTTTAAGTTCACTTAAGTCACTGATTAACATAGGCGTCGTCAATCATAATTATTAAATTAACTAAGTGTATATAATGTAGCTTTATATTCTGGGCTTATGTTCTAGGTTTATTATATCAGCTTAGTTGCATTATGAAAAAATTGGTACTATATGGATGCTAACATGGAGTATCAATCTTGAAAAGCTTCAAGGAATCTTGGCTTGGTATACAAACCAAATGTTGAAAAATTGAACTTTGATAGTTGAGCTGGCATAAAAACCTAGCTAGAGTGATGCATTGAATTTTTCTTTTTCCTGCTTGAGCCACATAGTTTGGAGTGTTGTGGAAGAATTTATGCAATTAAATTTTATGGCTGGCATGTTTGAGGAAAATTCTATATAATATTCTGGGAGATGTATTTATGGTTCTTCGGAAAAAGAGGATTAAAAATCTTTTGGATCCTGCTAAATGCCTGCACATTGACATTGTACAACACTAATATGTGCAGTAACGAGAATGACACTACAGAGAGACTAAAACGCATTATCCAAGCTAACGCTAGTCTTCGTCAAGAAATATCAGACACAAGCCTTCCATCCAAAAGCTTGGTATGATTTTTGTTTCCCAAGTTCTATATTCTCTGACTTTGGTTTGTTATTTACTTCCATATCCATTTTGTAATTATTTGTCTGCTAGATTTGTGTCACACATCTTTGATAACTATTCTCTATGCTTACTTTTCTTTTTGAGTTTTTATTGTGTCTTTCTTAATTCTGAATCTGCATGCTAATGATTGTTAGAAATGTAAACACAAATAACTTTTTTTTCCTTACATAAAATAGGATGAAAAGAAAGAGGACTGGCTGCAGTATCATCTTTGACTCTGATTGATTCTCTTATTGTTGTGTAATTTGAAAAGAAAAGTGCTTCAAATTAAGAAAAATTGCACAATGAGATGACAGGCACTGCTCCAACCCTATCAACGAAAGGAAATATAAGAAAACAAAGACTATACATGCTTTTCTTTGCTCCCAACTGGAAAATCTGATTGCTCATGTGTCCTCGTGTTTGGCAAAGCATGTTTCGTGGGGATGTTGTCATGTTTCAGTGATCACATTGACCCAATCCATCATATGCTAATTTATATTCTTGTATTGTGGATACTATTGTTCGAGATGTCAACATTTTGCTGCATGCCCTTGACTGTAGTTGAATGCATGGGGT